ACAATTTAAAAGTCAGTACTTTAAAGGTTAAAGACATTTCTGTGGAAACTGCTGAAAATATTTTAAATTTTAGAGAAATAAAAAAGGATTGGATATCAGAAGAAACTTGGACAAGAATTCAAAAACAGAAAAATATAAAAAGATGTTAAACAGCTCCAAAACAAGCAGCAAAAAACTTAAATTACAAGAAGAATATTGGGTAACAGACACTGAAGTTAAAAGGAAAACCAAGAGAGATAAAAGAAAGTGGGTGAATGAATAAGCAAGTAAAGCAGAGGAAGCTGTAAGGAAAGGACATATAAAAGAATTATACAATATTACAATAAAACTGACTGAAAGAAAATATCAGGGTATGCAACCTATAAAAATAATGGGGCTCTGCTTACGAATGAAGATGATCAAACAAAAACATGGCAAGAAACAGCAATAGAAATTGTACCTATATCATCATCATCACCAAAAGACAGATGTGATAATGAGGCAAAGGAGGAGGAGGAAAAAGAAGAAAGCAATGGAAAGACCGCTAAATAAAGAGGAAATTAAAAAAAACTCTCAAAAAAAAAATGGTACGGTCCCATGTTTGGACAATATCCCACCCGAACTGTTAAAGGAGGATATCAATTTAACAGCAAATATACTCTGCATTCTGTTTGAAAAACTTTGCAAACAGGAAACAATCCCTGAAGACAGGAGAAAAGGTCTTTTGTTCAAATTACCAAAGAAAGGAAATGTTCTTAACTGTTCAAATTGGAGAGGAATTACACTTCTTTCTGTGAACACAAATCATTCCCACAAATCATATATGAAAGAATAAAAAAACTGAATAGAAACCAAACTAAGAAAAGAACAAGCAGGCTTCAGAAGCAATAGGTCATGAGCTGATCAAATTAATACAGTCAGAATATTGATAGAACAGTAAATGAATTTCTTAGTGCTCTATACCTTTGGTTTACAGATTCTGAGAAGGCTTTCATTCCACAGATAGGGACCAAATATGGCAAGAACTAAAGGACTATGGGATTCCAATAAAAGTAATAAAATTCATACAAAGATTACACTTATGGGAAACTTAGTTTACCTATTGAGACAGGTACAGGTGACAAGCAAGGTTGTATTCTCTCGTCAACCATTTTCCTTGTTATGATCAGTAATGAGAAGAACCACAGAATACAAACAATGGGATCCCACATGTAAACTGGAGGACTTTGATTTCAGAGATATGTCTTTTAGCAAAAAATTTTAAAGATATGAAAGAAAAGTTGGTTGACTGAAACAGAAGCCAGGAAAGCTGAATAAATATTAATCAGGCAAAAACGAAAGCAATGCACATAAATAATAAAAATAAAAATACTTTTACTCTAGATGGAAAAAAAATAGGAAATGTTGATAAATTCCCTTAACTTGAGAGCATAGATCCAGAGGAGATGTAAGAAATAAAATATCTGAAGCAAATGGGGCATTTAATCAACTACAGGAAGTTTGGAAACAAGTGAATGTATAAGGGGTGGGCCTTCTTGGCCCTTGCACCGCGACCACAATGATCTACTGTGTCTCTGGAAATAAGAGATATTTCATCAAGACCAAAACTCGGCCGCACCGTAGCTCAAGTGGTTAGTCGCTGGCTTCCCACCATGGCAGCCCGGGTTTGATCCCGGGTCTGGTCAAGTGGGATTTGTGGTGGGGCTGGGGCAGGTTTTCTCCAAGTACTTCCGTTTCCCCCGTCAATCTTCATTCCACCAACTGCTCCACAATCACACCCTCACCTATCATCTGGGGCTGGTACAACAGGCCAGAAGTGGCCGCAGTACAAGGGACTTACTCCCACCCCACTAGCAATAAAAAAAAAAAGACCAAAACTAAGAATTTTCAACTCTAATGTGAAATCAATTTTATTATAGTGTTGTGAGGCATGGTGAGTCACCCAGGAAACATGTAGAAAATTACAAAGTTCTGTAAATCAATGCCTGTGTAGAATAGCAAAGTTGAGATGACCAGTTATAATAACGCACTGAACTATGGAAACAGACAATTGAAATAAAAATAACTGAACAGATTGCCAGACATAAAATGGAACTGGATCAGCCACTCTCTTCGAAAGGAAAATGCAATCGAGAAGCAGGCTATGGGGTGGAACTCAAAAGGGCAAAGTAAACAACTCGGCAAGAACTGTAAGAGATGGTGACACTTTGTTGATGCCCTATGCTCCAATGGGAGCTGAAGGACGATGAAGATGATGATAACAGGGAGGTTCTTTTTGTTGATCGGTTCATGGCTTTGCGCTTCATGGTGACTGGTGCACTGCCAGCTGCGAGTCGAACACAAATTTTGACCATGAATCAGCATGAGTGATGGCATTATGTTTCACAGCAATCAGTGAGGTTCATGCGTTTATGATCTGTCAGTAGTGGGTGCCAGTTATGAACTCCATTAGCTGTTTGTTCTCAGTTACAATCAGTAAGCAGTGCGGTACACTTTAGAGCATGTGTACTACTGCACGACCCTTACGCCAAATGTGGTTCTGCTAGAAAGTGTCGACAAAAATTTCATGAGCAAGAGTTCCCAGTAAAAAGTAAAACTATCCCTTTACCAGGCCGTGAAGGCCCACAGGGTTGTGAGATGTTCGGGGTCCCACATTATCTAGACAATCGGCTCAAAGATGGCAATAAGGTTGTTAGCGTTACACAACGGCTGCACTTTATTCCCCAGGAAAATTAATTAATCCCTGGTACTCATTTCTGTTAGAGGATGAGTCAACCCCAGGGCCATAGTGCGGCTGGAAGGATTAGGTCATTTGAAAAATCCAATGACCTCATCAGGACTTGAACCCGCGACCTTCCAGCTTGTAGCATAGCCCCTTAACCAACTATGCTACCATATGCCCCAAGAGTTCCCAGTAAACAAAGAATTCACAATTTGGTGAAAAAACTCAGATCAAAGGGACTCTTAATAGACAAGACACAAAAACACAAGTGCCAAGACTGAGGTAAAGTTAGATGACAAAGGAGCCAGACTTGAACATACACCTAGAAAATCACTGAAACATCTAACTCAAAGAGACTGGAGTGTCATAATCTAGTGCAGGAAGCTGAAGCTTGGACCCTATACTGTTACTGCCTTGTATCTTTAGCTTTGTATGATACCTTCGGGGACAGCAATAACAGCACTGGTATTCGGCAGGCACATTCACCCGACCTTAATTCTTGCGACTTTTCTTCTGGGGTTGCCTGAAGGACAAAGTTTACAACAGTAAATGGCCACAGGCATAATGATTCATCAGCATAATTCATATGCACTTCACAGCCAAAGGTGCACCACTCACTGTGGATCAGAGTCCTGAACCAGTCAACCAAAGTAAGAACCTCCCCGTATATGCATATGTAGAAGTTTTCTTTGATGTTCATTAACAGCCCTTTTTTGTTTAATTACATCCACTGTATATTCCAATTGACCATAATGGCGCCTATATTCTAGGATGTGTGTGTTGCCAATATCGATTCTTCACTCATAGCCAGAAACCAACAGACGACTAAAGAAAACGCGTTAGCACAAGCTCGAATATGGACTACAAATCCATCAAACACAATTATAGCCAGATTGTGGAAGGATATGATTAAGGACACAACGTAATTTAACAAAATAATGCAAGAAAATGTCAAAATACTAAGCTATATAGCCATCCTCAGAAGAAAACATTAAACGAACTAGGGAGCAAAACACAGCCAATCGTAATCAAACATCAACATATTATAGACAACATAAGGAGTGACAGTTGTAGTGCATATACAGCATGTAAGATCAAAATAATAACTATAAGCCAAAATACAGTCACATTGATGGTGGAAAGCCTGATATGACCAACAGAAGAAATCTATACATAATTTTCATTTTATTTAAACTAAGGGGGGAATCAACCACTAAGATTATTTAGAATATCGTATTTCCATGGGTTCAATATTTTAATAATATCTTCACCTATTAATATACTTTTAAATATTTTATTACTGTTATTAAGTTTTAAATACTTGTTCAATACATTTCCAAAGCAGTATAGAAACACAACCATTTAATCTCTGCATTTAAGATGATTAACACAAGGGAACACAGCATATGTTTCAATTTATTGTAACACACAATGATATATGGATCCATACAGGAGGCATAAGTCAATAGAATAAAGCTTGTTAATGTATTGCCTGATAATGGCTGCATGAGCCTAAACATGTTGCGACATTGTACGACCAATAAACTCAGTTATGCACAGTGAAATGTGCGTGCATTGTTTGTTATATTAGGAGAAACAAAACTCATATACAGCAACGATTCCTCATTATTGCTTTCTATACCTCTTACACAATCTCTGTATCTAATGTTTGCTCACTGTTCTTTCTAACAGAAAATAACAAAAAAATCTGTCATGAAAACCAATCACCCAACAGTAGGTACAGAGGCAACTCCGACAGTGTCAGGTATATTAAATTTACTTCAAAGGGCAACAGGCAACACGTGTCTATAATCTGTCACAAACCTGTAGAGAATCATTAATTATCCTGTTACAAATCCTCAACATGACAACTCTGTTATTACACGGATATAGACTACATCGAAGATAGAAAAGAAATCAACAGTAAACTTCAGCATTTATAGATCCCAGGGACCCTACGATGTAGTATCAAACCACTGCTTAGTGGACTGGATAGACAAGGAAAACATGCAAGATTCTTCCTGCTATGGAATTTATCTTGTGCATTCTTCAGTTTACACAGTATTTAATTTCATCTATATCAGATCTTCTTAAAAGAAAATGGGATTGGTAAATCACAAGCAACATTCAAGAAACTACAGTTGCCTAGAGACATTTCAGAAAAAAAAAGAAACCTTCAGAATCTGGTCAACAGCGCAGTAGAGCTGCTTCACATGCACAGACAGAGATGGAGATAAGAAAGACAACTGACACTTCTGCACATTTGTGTTACCTGCCTAACAGTGCACATACAGCTCACCTCAGGTTCAGCCTTTAGTTCTGGAAATATTACTGCAAGAGGATCTTCTTCCTCTTCTGTATCTGACACTGCCTCAGCTTTTATATACACAGCATGATTTGCATCATGAGATGTTGGGTATATCTCAACATATGGACCCACTAAAACGTTCTCTGAACTTGTACAGTCCTGTAAAAATCATCACATCTTTCTCAGAAATGGATGCACAACACCAAACATTAAACAGCACATGCTCTCCCTGCTATGGCTGCGTCTCATTACATCTAGCTCATAACAGCTGTTTTGTACACATTTTCTTCACTACAGCTATCAAGATCATTGGAAAGTATCTGGTTCATAGCTCTGTGTTCTTCCAAAGAAACTAACAATCACTGCAGCAGCACAGAAAATATCTGCTTCCTTTGGTACCTAAAAACATCATGAGGAGATTCATAACTTGTAACTTGGCTTCTCAAGGAGACAGCTCCATGGAGTTATTTATGGTACCTAAGGTCTCATTACTGTGATCACACATGCTCATTGTAGCTCTGTATCCTAAGGCAAACAGATTCAACACAAACCCTTCCAAATTATTTCTTTAAAATCTAGCTTAACAGCATCTTTCCATCTGCAATTAGGTGTCCCAAGTGGTCTGTTTCTCTCAGGTTTTCTATCCAAAACTTTGTATGCATTTTTCACTCTCACATGTGTGCTACCTGACTTATGCAGATCACCCTCTTTGAACTGATCACTCTCCTACATTATGTACCAATTGTTTACATGTATTTTATAACTTAAAAAAAATGTTTATTCTTTATATTATTTTATTATCAACACCCTTATGTACCCTCTAGGCACCCATTTAATATAAAACTTTTATTCCAATTTTAATGTATTTATAAGAATGGTATTAATGCAGATGAATTGTTGAATGTATTACATACATGGAAAGTCAGATACATTACTGATAGTTCTTATATTGTAATATATGAATTCATATAAAATGCTCTTCAATAGTTTCAAAACATTTGTTAGTGTATACTGCCCGATGACGGCAGTAGCCGAAACATGTAGCACACTGCCATATCATTAGGACCAGTAAACTCATTATATATATGATTCTGTATTTCAGCATCCTGCTGCAATTGTTCAAATTAGTGTCCATTGTTTATCTTCCATCAAAATTGCAAAACTTTTTACATTCTACACTTCAACACTACATTTAGAACACCAGACGCTGTGGAGGAAGCACACACAAACCAGGAGCATATGGCAGTCAAAAACTGAAAGTAGACCACGAACGTAAGGGGCAAGCTGCCAAGAAAAACACTTCGATACATTTACGAAAATGACGACACCCCGGGTGAGGTGAAATAATATGCAACAGAAATTTTAAGGGATTTTATCTCATTTTACTTAAAAAGAAGACTACAGTGTGTGATTTTAACACAAATTAAAACAGTAACAGTTTTTAACACAGTCTTAGTAAAATATCTGTAACATAATAACACCTGAGGATGGCCGTTTGGTGCGGAAACATGCAGTGTTGAAGTGCAGAATGTAAAAAGTGTTGCAATTTTGATGGAAGATAAACAATGGATGCTAATCATTATACACAGCAAATGTGAGTGAGATTTTGATGGGTGTGTTGAGACAGAAAAAACCATAACAAAGTATAATATACCGAACTCCACAGATGGATTATGAAAACAGAGAGAGATGCCTGTCACAAAACATCTAGTTCCTCTGGAGAAGAGAACTGACATAAAACAACAAAATTCTTGTCTGTGCACACAAGCACAAAACACAATCCTATCTCTCACAGCAGGAAATGTTTCTTCAGCTCCCTGCAGTACAATTTTTGCCACTTTTGTTGCAAGAGAATGCAGAATCTTTTGTAACCTTGAAACCTGTTGATCACATGATAAATATCTTGTGGGGTTCACTGTAACTAGCTTACAAGAGTCCTAGTAATTTAAATTCTTGGTTCTAACAAGTGTACCAGTAACTAACTGCAAACAGTTCCATGACTCCCCAAGGATTTTTGCTGCTGTAGAATTTCTCTGAAACACTGTTCACTTTACACAAAATTCAATTTCATCTACATCAGAACTGCTTAAAAGGAAATGGAAGTGGTACATCACAAGCAACATCCACTCAACAAACTATAACTGTCTAGAGACATTTCAGAAAAAGACCTTCAAAGGCCAGTCAGCAGCACAGTGGAGCTGTTTCATGTGTACAGACAGCTGCCTGACAGATGGGGAGAACTGGCATTTCTGCATATTTGTGATATCTCCCCAACAGTGGACATATAGAAACATACAGCTCACCTCAGGTTCAGCCTTTATCTCCTGAAATGTTATTTGCAGAGGATCCACTTCCTCATGTGAGTCTGAGACTTCCTCAGCATTCATATTCATGGCCTGGTCTGCATTACTTATTGGGTGTGTATCTTCATTCTCTGAATTTGTATGGTTCTGTAAAACCATCATATCTTCTATCAGTCATGGCTGTACAACACCATGCATCAAACATTGTATGCTCTTTTTGCTGTAGCTGCTCTTTACTACATCTAACCAATAAAAGCTGCTCTCTACGAATTTCTTCTCCAGACTCCATAAACTTGGAAAGTATTAAGTTCCTAATGCAGGGACCTTCCTGAGAAATTTATTGTCCCTGTGCAAGTACAGAATATATCTGCTCTTTATGTTACCTAAGAACTCTGTGTTCACACATGCCCATCACGATTTCACATCCTGACACAAACAAACCCCGTCCAAATCCCCCAAAATGTGCACAAAAATATCTCCCAAGTGGTCTCATTCTTTCAGGTTTTCTGTCCAAATCTTTGTACACATTTCTCATTCTCACATGTGCTACACAACCTACCCACAGCATTGTCCTTGATCGAACCCTCTCCTACATAATATACTAAACTGTTACAAGGCCACACCATAGCTCAAGGGGTTAGTCGCTGGCTTCCCACCGCAGCGGCCCAGGTTCTGGTCAAGTGGGATTTGTGGTGGACAAAGTGGCACTGGGGCGGGTTTTCTCCGAGTACTTTGGTTTCCCCTGCCAATCTTCATTCCACCAAATTCTCCATCATCATAATGATCATAATCAGCCAGGGCAGGCTACAATAGGCCAATCAATGGCCGCAAGTCGGAGTGGACCCAGCTGGACTCCAACCCCCAGTAAGAGAATTTTTTAAAACTGTTACAATATGAAGAACCATGTAAACTCCCTGCATGGATTATGAAAACTAACAGATTTGCATAAAATTTTCAGTTTCTTAGGCTATTAGAACTGAAAGATGACAATAAAATTGTCTGTGCACACAAGCACAAAACACTCACCATGCTTTCTCTCACAGCTGGAAATATTTCTTCAGCTCTCGGCAGCAGTTATTGGCATTCCTGTTGCAAGAGAATGCAGAATCTTTCATAACCTTGAATCCTTTTTCTTTGTCATACATGATGTTTTGTGGGTTTCAAATGAATCTATTTACAAGAATCTAACTGATATAGCATCATATTTCTAAAGAGTCTACCAGTATCTTCCTGCCAATATTAGCCCTAGTGCGTAACGAAACATACTGATTGTGTACAAACACATATTGATGTGGATTTCTTTGTTCTCACAATACAGACTATGAAGCTTAGTGTCTTATAACACGTTGTCTGACAAACTGTTCCTTAACTTGCGTAGGGAGCTGGTTCACCAAACCTGGGTGAACTCTTGCTTCCAAAACGTCGGTAACTCGCTAGCAGACAGCGCGGAGTTAAACCAATAACTACCTAACTGTACACACACTATCACAGGGCCTCAGAACAGTATTCATTATGCATCTGTATACCCTGACACTTCAACCAGTTCACCTTAAATCATCAGCTATTATGACTTTCAAGTCGGGGCTGGTACGCACTTCTATGTGTAAGACGGGCGAGAATGGGTATGTAAACACCAAAAACGCGCATTCTAAGATCATGACGCTCAGAAATGGTACAGAAGTTTAGAAAAATCCCAAGTAGAACTTACAACATCAGAATATCAACCCCAACGGAGTTTGCTTCTAACAATTTGTCAAAATATGAAGAAATCGAATTTCTTTCGAATGACTGTAATGATTCTCTAAGGCATGCACACAATTTACCTACCTCTTCCAAAAACGTAATGGCCGAAATCATTAAAACTTCAACAAATTGGGTATCATTAGGTATCTATTGGACGCTATTGGGCAACGCCCAATGCCTGTGATTGGTTCACACACATGCGATTTGATATGTAGCGATACATTGCGATAGGCGTCGATGGGTGTATTGTGAATGGCTCCAAGACCGTTTCAGACTATCTAGTATCGGTGCGATGCGTAGAGGTGGCAGTAGTTTTGTATTTACAATATTTCTTCTACAATAAAAGAAACCGAGAAAATGAATACCCAAAGTCAGTTATAGAGCTCGTACAGGTAGAAGAAAAGAGATTTCTGCAGGGCTTCTGTTACATCATAAGCAATATTCCTATATTTATATAAAATAATTATGTAAGAAAAGTAAGGGGGCACGCGGTAGCGTAGTTGATTGAGAGGGTATGCTGCAAGTCGGAAGGTCGCGTGTTGAAATCACAGTCTTTGAATTTTTTAAATTGACATAATCCTTCCAGCCGCATGGCCCTAGCTGGGGCCGACTCAGCCTGTAACAGAACTGAGTACCAGGAATTAATTAAATTATTTTCCCGGGGAGTAAAGCGTGACCGGCGCGTAGGGCTGACAACCTTGCCGCCAACTACGAGCCGATTGTCTAGATGGTCTAGATAATGTCAGACCCTCAACGTCTCACAACCCTACGGATCTCCACGGCCTCTTACAGGGATAGCTTAGCTTTGCTTTGTTTTTCTTTCTAGTGGGGTGGGACTAAGTCCCTTATACTGCGGCCACTTCTGGCCTATTGTACCAGCCCCCGATTATTGGTGAGCAATTGGTGGAATGAAGATTGGCAGGGCAGTGCTTGAGGTGGAATGAAAATAGAACCGGGATGGTTTTCCCCTTTTAATTCATAGGCATTTACTGCCAAAGAAGTAACGGGATGCTTTTAAGCCATTTAGAAAAGAACCGGGATACCATCCTGCTGCATCCCGCCCCACCTCAAGCCCTGTTTATAGTCAAGATTCACATAAATGCCCAACCAGCCAACTACAGTCTTTCTGGACACAAAACTTTTCTCAGCATTCTATGAATATTCTCTGCCAGCTTTCAGTATCAAAGATATGTATTACTGTATGTTGTTCCTGAAGGTTCTATCTTATAGGATATAATACTGTGTAGTCTCTTGAAAGTCAACCAGCATTTCAGAGGAACAGAACACAATCTTTCACAGTCAAAGGATAAGCCAAGCTAGAATCTTAAAAGTGGAAGTTTTCATAAGCAGTGCTCTGGAACCTCAAATCCTATATATATTGTTCCTGTGAAATGTGGTATATACTAAGCAAAGCGAGTAAACAGCGGTGACGTAACACGGGACGCCGCAGTTGCTAAGTAGCCGTAAACAACTACCAACAGCGTTGCTAGTATATCGCCAAACAGGCAACCAGGCAACAATGAAGCGAGGCGTTTTCCCGTTGTCCGGCTGAGGGTTTATAAGAGACCTACACTGCCTACGAAATCAGTTCTAAAGACAGCAGCCTACGAGTTGAGTTGGAATCTAGCCAGCGGAGAGTTACGAGTTGGTGTGCGATACAGCGACACTTATATAGTGGTCAGAAACTCAACACGTTACATTTGGTTCGTCTGTGCATACTGTGCAACTCTAATAAATATTATAGAACAGTTCAAGAAGTGGTTGCCTCTTCATATAATGTCATCCCACGGGCTTTTCGGAATTTCTGGAGAAGATGTCCCATCTTCAGAGCAGGAGCAGCTGTTTATTCGCAAACTGCGACAGTGCTGTGTGGCATTTGACTTCATGGACCCAGTGGCTGACCTGAAGGGAAAGGAAATTAAACGAGCTACTCTGAATGAGCTGGTGGACTTCATTACAGCAGGCCGGGGTGTACTTACTGAGCCTGTTTACCCTGAGATCATCAGAATGATCTCAGCAAATCTGTTCCGGACCTTGCCGCCCAGTGATTTTGATCCAGAAGAAGATGACCCAACATTAGAAGCGTCATGGCCACACTTGCAGTTAGTGTATGAGTTTTTCCTACGGTTCTTGGAATCCTCCGACTTTCAGACCACCATTGCCAAACAAGTAATAGACCAAAAATTTGTGCTACAGTTATTAGACTTATTTGACAGTGAAGACCCTCGGGAGCGTCATTTCCTTAAGACTGTTCTGCATCGCATCTATGGAAAATTCCCGGGGCTACGTGCATTCATACGCAAACAAATAAATAACATCTTCCTTAGGTTTGTATATGAGACAGAGCATTTTAATGGTGTTGCAGAGTTACTGGAAATATTAGCAAGCATTATCAGCGGCTTTTCTCTACCGCTGAAGTCAGAACACAAGCAATTCCTCCTAAAGGTTCTGCTGCCACTGCACAAAGTTAAATGTCTGTCATTGTACCATGCACAGCTGACATACTGTGTGGTTCAGTTCCTTGAAAAGGATGCCACGCTAACTGAAACTGTTGTTAAAGGGCTACTCAAGTTCTGGCCTAAAACGTGCAGTCAGAAAGATGTGATGTTCCTTGGTGAGACTGGAGAAATTTTAGATGTAATTGAACCATCACAGTTTGCCAAAATTCAGGAACCGTTGTTCAAACAAATTTCAAGATGTGTCTCTAGTCCTCACTTTCAGGTGGCCTGTTGTGCACTGTACTTATGGAGTAATGAGTACATAATGAGCCTGACTGAGGAAAACAGCCATGTGATCATGCCAATAATGTTCCCAGCTCTGTACCGCATCAGCAGAGGGCACTGGAACCAAACAATTGTGGCTCTTGTATNTCAAATCCTTCATGGAGATGAACAGTAAGCTTTTTGATGAGCTCACAGCTAAAGCTGAGAGACAAAATGTGTGACTAGCAGTGTACTGTGAGGGCAGAGAGGAGAAAGTTCTTGTGCGCAGAGTGGGCAGTGTGCGCCGACAGAATATAGTGGTTGAACTGGACAGAGAGACGGACAGTTCTACATTCAGATAGTAATAAGGTGACGTTGGAAGGATATCCCCTCAAGGTCTTATTCATGACATTTTTGGTGCTGAAACCCAGGAAGTGGGATACATATGATACAACTCGACATGGCGGACGCTGAACTAGGAAGACTCACGAGGAAGCGCCCCACAGTAAGGGCAAAAGTGACAAAGTTCAGTACCTCTATAAGGAAATCCACTGCCAGCACCCCACTTGAGGATTATGAGTACTACCGAGACCGTTTACAGGAGACCCTGGATCAACTACTTTCATTGGACAGTGATATCCAGGATCTTCTAGAGGACAAGGAGTACACAACTGATGTGGAGATGGCTGAAGAGTACATCGACTTAGCCAAGTGAGCACTGCTGAAGGCCAAGCGGGAGGTAGAGAACCGACTCGTCTCGACAGGAGAGAAGCCTAACTTTGATCATTCTGTTGTATTTACAATTCCCCAGCTTTTATTATATTTTACGAGTACATAGCAGTTTTTCACTTAGCATTCTGTGGTATTTATGTTTCCACTACAGACCATTTTTGCTTGTATTAATGTATGCCTTTCACATGATGACCACGAGATGGTTGAAACATGTAGTGAATAACAAATAATTAAATGTTCTCTTTGTAATTACGAATTTGTGTTCAGACNTAATGGTGAGCACTGGATGCTGTAGCATATTCTATATTTATAGTCAGTGCTTGAGGTGGAATGAAAATAGAACCGGGATGGTTTTCCCCTTTTAATTCATAAGCATTTACTGCCAAAGAAGTAACGGGATGCTTTTAAGCCATTTAGAAAAGAACCGGGATACCATCCCGCCGCATCCCACCCCACCTGAAGCCCTGTGGCAGGGGAAACCTAAGTACTCGGTTGACCACTTCACCAGACCCGGGATCGAACCTGGGCCGCCCCGGTGCGAAGCCAGCGGCTAACCTCTTGAGCTATGGCGCACCAACGTATTAACGGGATACTCTCAGATTTAAGTTAAGATTTATAATAAGAATCGCGGAGATACAGCTGTAATAGAACAAGATGTATATAAGAATGTGCTACAGAAGGCCGGGTGGGCATTGCCTAGGCCTTTATTTGTATTTACAATATTTGTTTTCCACAATACAAAAATCCCCAGTCTCAGATTCTTGGGGGTGGCCAAAATTGACACTGCAAGAAATTGTTGTACCATATGATACCACATCCGCTCTTTTACCCATCATATGCATAACTTTTCAACCATTAGGCATGGGGGCAGGGAAGCACTTCCTCACTTGGGTCC